TTTCCAACTTTATTATTATTATTATTGTTGTTGTTGTTGTTGTTGTTGTTGAAAAAAACAAGTTTTATTAAAGTGCTTGCAAAGGCTGGTGGATCTCAGTACATGAAAGTAAGAGAGAAAGTATGAGACCACACCTTCTTTATAGATTTCAGCAGTTCAGCTGGTCCATCCTCCCCAGGCCTAGTTGATAGGCCCGATTCAGTCACATGCTAACAGTCCACCTATCATACCTAAATGCTTAAAGTTAGTTAAGCCCTTGTCACCCAAACTTGCTAAGCCCTAGCCCAGTGATGGCGAACCTTTTAGAGACTGAGTGCCCAAACTGCAACCCAAAACCCATTTATGCATCAGGTGGGTGTGGCCCATTGGGTGGGCATGGCCCATTGGGTGAGCGTGGCCCATTGGGTGAGCGTGGCTGCGATGGTAATGGCAGACCGGGTGGGACTAAAAAGTTCAATCAATCAATTCCAACTTGAAATTGACTGATTGAACCTTTTTTTTTTTTGCACACGGCGGCAGAGACCTAAAGCGAAAAAGTTTTATAAAACCCAGCTGAAGGCCTAGGACTGGGGTGACAGTGCGTATGCCTACGCTCTGAGTGCCGCCTCTGGCACCCGTGCCATAGGTTCGCCACCACTGCCCTAGCCCTTTCACTGCTCCCTCTCTGGTATTTCCTTATTGGTTCCCTAGTTATCTGTACAATGCTGTAACTGGTACATGCTTCCAGCCAGAAGCTATGTATGTCATAGCTTTAGCACAGTTCATGCATTGGTTAAACATAGCTGTGCTCTGGATATAGAATAAAGTGGCTATTCTTTAAAATACTAACCCTAGCTAGTTTGAATAAAAAATAAACCATATAAATTGGATATGTCATTCATAAGCTATATGCTAGTCTACATTATGGAAAATTACAATGTATTATGTTATATCTCATATTAGTTTATGGTGTAATGCATTGTGCAAACCCAGAGAACTGAATTGTATAAATTGGTTAACTGGGCCAAAGTGAACTGATTTAACATCAAAAGGTCTTGAACCATAAATAAATAACATTATTAAAATATTTGATTCTAGATTTACCAATAGCATTATTAGCAGTGAGACAGGTGAATGTATCCTCTTCTGAAAAAGTTTTAATCAATACCTCTTTAGCCATGATGCCCAGAGGTTTCTAGGGGAGTGTGAGGATCCCAATTAAGATTGGCTATGAGCAACAACCCAAACTATCCTTGTTGCCCTGGTTTATGTGCCATAGTGTTCTGCTGCATAATCTTGGTAATAAGAATATCTAGCAACTATAGGTAGTCCTTGACTTACAACCACAACTGAGCCCCAAATTTCTGTTATTAAGTGAGACATTTGTTAAGTGAGTTTCACACCATTTTATGACTTTATCTGCCACAGTTGTTAAGTGAATCACTGTAGTTGATAAGTTAGTAACTCAGTTGTTAAGTGAACCTGGTTTCCCCATTGACTTTGTCAGGTCGCAAAAGGTGGTCAAATGACCTTGGGGCACAGGAACAGTATTAAATATGAATACTTGCCAAGCATCTAATTTTGATCACACGATCATGGGGATGCTGCAAAGGTCATAACTGAAATATGGTTGCTAGTCACATTTTTCAATGCCATTGTAACTTTGAACGGTCACTAAATGAACTGTTGTAAGTCGAGGACTATCTGTACTAAAACTGCCAGTCTGTTTCCAAAACCTATAGTCTATTTTTAAGTAATGAATGATTGTTGGATTTTGTTTTCCATCTTTATGTTTCTATCCAATAGTAAGCTGTCCAGAGTCACTTTGCAGTTGGATGAACATATAAATTAAATAAAAATAACTGATAGGGACCACACAAAACTAGAAGAATTACTATGCAATTGCAATCCACGTCAAGCATCCCTGGAAAAGTCCAACACGTGCAAAGCCGAAAACTAGACCCAATAAATTGCGCATGTGCCACTCGTCCAGCCTACTACTGTATGTTGTTTCTTGCGGCGGAGATGCCACATTGTGGCATGTCTGGGCGTGGCACCGGGAGTCCCTCCCCTTCCCTGAGTGTCGGGCGCAGACCTTAGTGACTGAAGCGCCATTTTGCGTTGCCGTCGCCACAGCATAGGAGTTAGGTAATTGGAGGCAGTGGCAGGAGAAAGTCGGGGCTCGGCGCTCCTCCCTTGGATTTCCACTTGTTTGGCCACCTGCCGCCTTAGACACGCGCCAGCATGAGCGACGTGGAGGAGAATAACTTCGAGGGGAGGGTGAGTAGTGAGCGGTTCTGTTCGGGCCGAGGTGTCGGAGGCCTGGCCTGGCCCGGCCCTGAGGGCAAGAAGTGGGCGAAGAAGAAAAAAAGAGCCTCCGCATCGGGCGCCGAGCGGGGCGGAGTCATCCTGAGAGACTTCGTTGTTCCTTACCAAAATGGTTCCTTCCTCCGAGGTGGGGCTACGCTACATCCCGCCCGCAGGGACCGCGCTCTCGTTGGCTGTTTCGACTCGGCCCTGCTTTCTTCCTTCCGGACCAGGATCCTCGGACTTAACAAACCGTGATCCCGACTCCTCTTTTGGCGCCATCCCTCACCCCTTTAATGGGTGTTGGGTTCTAGCTCCCCCCTTCGCTCTTTTTTTAACCGTTTGCCCTGTTCCTATTTTTTTTTTTTTTTTTTGCCATTTTCAAGTTCTTTCATTCTCGATTGCTTTAAATTCCCGTTTTCACTTTAACTAATAACATCCCCCTCCCGCAAATCCAAATAGAAAGTATGCAGGGCTGGTGGGAAGGGGGACCCTACACAGTCAGAGAAATCGGGAGGGCCGGCGATAATGCCCCCTTGTCCTGAGAGAGAGTTGAGGACCGTTTCTAATAATAATACGATGAAAATGGCGTCAGAATTTTTTCAGGTAAAAATGCTGTTAAGCTTCCAGCATGATTTATTAGGTTTACACCGGAATACAGAGTCAACATTTTGTTACATAAGGTGTTTAAGGTATGGTACTAGTGGATATTTTCTGCATTATTGTGGGCAGTAATAATGAAAAGAGTTAATTAGAAGCTACTTGCCACTATTCCAATTCTAGGTTTGCACTATCTTAAATAATTTATCAGGTCATTATTTAATTATTGAAAGGGATTTTAAATTTTGTATAGAGAGTATAGTAGCATACTTTTAAATAAGCTGTCTGGGAAGAGTTACGGTATTTTTAGATTTGTGTGTGTGTGTGTGTTTGTGTGTTCTGTTATTACAGTATAAAAAACTTGAGGTAATTTCGTTCCCCTCCTACCTTATAAATTTGGGGAAACTCATTTTTTAAAAACTAACATATCTTGTTACTACTTTTCTCAAGAATGATAATAGGAATGTGTGATTGTAGTGCAAATCTTATGCTTGTATAAGAATATCCTATTTGAGCCTTTACAATTAATGTTCATTTGTATCTAATAATGATGTTTCTATAAAGCTTATTATTCTCACTTATATTAAAATCTTGAAAAAACAACAAAACCAAATGTAAAGCAGTGATAAGTTTTTCAATATGTTTAGGATTATTATTTGTGTGCAAAAGTTCAGGAACACTTATCTTATTATTGAAGCAGCAGCTGGAAGTTGTGAAGAAGTGAAAGAAATGAAACAATTTGAAACCAGGCAAGATAGAAGTGTATATTGTAGCTGTATTAAAATAATAAAATACCCAGTATAATTAGATTAAGAATCTGGATGCAGTAGAATCCTCTTTGTTACTTTAAAAATTGTTCCTTATGGTTTTGAAGTGCCATGGTTTGTTGTTATTGATGTTGTGTTTTGCTGAAATACACTTCCCTTAATTAAGTAAGAACTGTCCTGCATTAGCCTCTCTAAACTGTTTGGCTTAATTCAGGGGACATATACAGGCACTGGTAGGATTCAGCCAGTTTGCACCAGTTCGGCAGAACCGGTAGCTAATTTTTTGTTGCCCAGGCCCAGAATGGACTTCTGGAAGTGGCATCCACACAGAGAACCAGTTGTTCACATATTTGAATCCCACCACTGTACACAGGTAGTCCTCAACTTAAAACAGTTCATTTAATGACTGTTCAAAGTTACATTGAAAAAAGTGATTTAGAGCAATAGCACTTAAACTTATATATCACTTCATAGTGGTTTATAGCCCTCTCAGGTGGTTTACAGAATCAGCATATTACCCCTGACCTCAGAAGGATGGAAGGCTGAGTCAACCTTGAGCAGTTCAGAATCGAACTCCTGGAGTAAGCAGTGAGTTAGCCTGCATACTGCATTCTAACCACTGCCCCACTATACAGTGATAGTTTTTCATACCATTGCAACATCGCTATGATCATGTGATCAAAATTCAGATGCTTGGCAACTGACTCATATTTATGATGGTTGTAGTGTCCAGAGATTATGTGATCACCTTTTGCAATCTTTTGACAAGCAAAGTCAATGGGGAAACCTGTTTCACTTATCAACTGTGTTACTAACTTATCAACTCCAGTGACTCACTTAACAACTGTGGCAAGAAAAGTTGTAAAATGAGGCAAAACTCATTTAACAAATGTTTCACTAAGCAACATAAATTTTGGGCTCAGTTGTGGTCGTACGTTGAGGACTACCTTACTCTCTTTAAAGTCCAGTCGCCTAGGAACAATATAAAGACTGTACTTCGGATATAAAGACTATACTTTATAAGATTCAAGACTAGGAACATAATAGCTTTGACTACAACTTTCACTATAATTAGTCCAGCTAGGGAATGTCCTTTTTGCATTATCAATTAGCTGAATTTCCTAAATATTGAATTTGATATGGGGAAGTAGCTTACTATCAATAGAATGGAAGCTAACATATATCGTGTTTCCCCAAAAGTAAAACCTACCCCCAAAATAAGCCCTAGTTTTGGGGTGAGGTGCATGCCTAAAAATCAAGCTGGGGCAGAGGTGGAGCTTACCATTGCAGCCAGGCCTCCCTTGGATTGACACTTGCCTCACCGGCCCACTTCTGAGGCTGAAGGAGCAGCTTCATTCTGCAGCTGAGAATGGAGCTTGGGCCTGCATTTTGCAATCAGAGGCCTTTCCGGAAGTCCTGTGCAGCCAAAAACCGAGCTATGAATTCAATCTGCAGCTCAATTCTCAGCTGCACAGGCCTTCCGGAAATGCCTGTGATGGTGAAATGCAGGCCCAAGCTCCATTCTCAGCTGCATAATGAAGCTGCTCCTTTGGCCACAGAAGTGGCCTGGCTGGGCGGGGCTGTCGGTGCCACCGCTGCGAGGTGAGTGGAAAAGAACCACCACCCCGATGCCTGTTTTGGAGGCAAAACATTAAAAATAAGACCAGGTCTTAATTTCGGGGAAACGTGGGCCCGGTGAAGTGAATCTGTTTATATAGGGATAAGTAGGAGAGATAAGAATGGCTTTGTTTAGATTTTAAAAAATGAGGTGTGAAATTTCAGTATAGGTATAACTAATCTACTCTTCTCAAATAGGGAAAACTCAGTTTCTCTATCAGAAGTAGATGCAGAATGTTTGAGGCCATCTAGTCTGGGCTGCATAATTTAAGTATATTTAAATGTTGATGTGTAATCCTGCAAAGCTCTTCTGGCGATTGTAAAATATTGTGCTCTCCCTCTCATATAACTGCATTTTGGTGATTTGTCAACTTGTTCACATTTACAAGCAGTTGTGAAGTGCCCTTGGTGTCAGGTGCCACATGATCACCACTTGCCACATGATCACCACTTGCGGACTTTTTTTCTGCTGGCTTTCCTAGAAAATCAGTGGTGATGCTAGCAGGGAAGGTTGCAAGCAGAGGGCATGTTGGATTTGATATCTGTTCTCTCAGCACATACATCTATGGATTTCCCCTTTTCCCTATGCAGGGAAGGGAAATCTTTCTATGTACGGGAGGAACAGGCCTCAAATATGGCAAAAATGAGCCTTCAAAAATGATGGCACTCAAATTTGTTCTCCCTGATTGGGTAGGCTTCCTGGGTATGGTGAGAAACCCAAAGCTTCTCCCTGGTGCTCTTCTTAACTGGTGATTATTGAGTGAAGCAGTCATGTGGTGTCTCATTTAATGACCACTTTGGTCAGTGACCAAGATTTCAGGCCCAATTGTGATTATAAGTGGAAGTCTACCCATATTTCAAGATTTTCTATTGATTTTATTTTAATTCCCCCTGAGAAAATTCTAATACATCATCATTTATTCTTACTTATTTCTCAGCTATAGAATGCTTCTTGTGCAGAAAGCCACAAAGTTGTTTTTGGTCATAACATAGATTTTATTTATTTCATGTTCTTAAGTATGGCCCACCTGACATAAAAAACACTTCTATTTTCCTATACCAGCTTATCTGAGTTTCCTGAGGTTCATCTGACAAGTGATAAAAGTCACTCCCTTTAGGTTTACATTGGAGGGAGGACTTCATAAAACTGAGAGATCTGCACCAATCTCTTAAGCTTTAAGAGTCTGGAGAAATTGAGTTGTTCATTGAACTTTTGAGAAGGTAGCAAAGTCCCTATAATACATTTGGCAATATAAATTTTGTAGTTTCCCTGTAGAATTTTTCTTATTTTTATAATATAAATATATTGAGGAATGTTGTTTAATATTTGTGGTTTACATATAGATAAATCATAATAGATTTATCATAATGGAGCTTGGAATTTCCATTATAAATCATAGCAGTCATAAATTGAGGCGCCCATGTGATTGCAACCTTTCTTGCCACAGTCATTAAGGGATTCAATGCTTCCTGTGGGCATTTTTGGCAGAAACTGTTTAAAAAAGCATGCTTCTAGCAAAAAGTATAAATTGCAGAACATTACAATCTGTCATAAAGGTGAGCCAGTTGCGAATTGAACAGAATGCAGTCATGATGGTATAAATGTAAGGATTATTTATAAAATAGGGCTGCCTTCTAATAGTATGTTTTTGATGTTGACCTTGGTTAATCTCAACACTGTTTACAAAGATTAGAGGTTATTGGGAAATTCAAAAACATATAATAGATCTGGAAATTGGAAAAAAAATACCCAGAAAGTGGCAGTACAAAATCATACAATTTGATTGCTTTCTCCCCATCCTCAATATGTTCATTAGGTCATCTGGAATCAGACTTAACTGAAAGAGGACCTTCAAACCAGGATAAAGTCCCCTTTCAGTTCATTTTTATTCCTGGTGACCTTATGAACATATTCAGGATGGAGGAGAAGGCAAAACATATCACTGATACATAGAACATTCTTTTCCAATGTAATTTATTGTTTTGTATTCTAAAAATGTGACCAGTACAGTTGTGCAATGTATATATTTAAATTAAAAAGATCATATATGTGAAAGATACAGTAGCCATATCACTTTAAACAGATGTCCCTGTATTAAAACCAGGCATTTCTGAATGCATTGGTCAGGATCCAATTTTGAAAAGATTTAAGTGGAAATAGCATCAAGGCAAAGCAGCATAATTTGTCTACTTTTTCCCAAAAAAATGTAAAATAATAGGCGTTTATATCAATCATTCATGATGTAGAATTAAACCTACAGAATAGGTTTAAAAATTCTTAATATAACTAGTTTGTTGTCTTTCTAAGTGTTGATAGTGAGCCTTGGATATGTAATTTTTCCCCCTTCTATTCAATTGTGTCCATTTCTCAATGGACAAGTCCCTGCAGTTTTCTTACAAAGGTTTTTTAAAAGTGGTTTATGCCCAGGGCAGGACTAGAACTCACAGTCTTCCAGTTTTAGTCTTAAGCTTTAACAATAACCCCAAATTTGCTCTCTAATTAGAAGTTCTGGCTAGAGAGAAGTTCCCTGAAAATGGGCTCCGGCATTAGTCTAAAAGCTCAGAAAACAAAATCTCTGGTCAAGGTGACCAACCCAGATTGGATCCTCACAACAGTTTGTTTAGTCTTTGTCAAAAATTAGTACAAGTAGTCCTCGGCTTACAACACTTCATTTAGTTAAAACAGCACCAAAAAAGTGACCTATGACAGTTTTTCACATTTAGACTATTGTAGCATCTCCATGGTCATGTGATCAAAATTCAAATGTTTGTCAACTGACTCATATTTATGACAGTTGCAATGGCCTTGGGTCATGTGATTACCTTTTGCAACTGTCTGACAAGCAAAGTTAATGGTGAAGCCAGATTCATTTAACAATCATGTTATTAACTTAACAACTGCAATGATTTATTTAAAAAGAAAAATTTTGGCTCAATTATGGTTGTAAGTTGAGGACTATCTATAGTTCCTTGTAGAAAGCTGTCTACCATTATCTAAGAAACAACACATTTTTCAGTGTTATATTTCTTTCTACCCATTCTTTTCTCATTAAAAGTCTTTACTTTTTAGAAGTTTTTCTGAAGAGGTTAGATTACCTCATATTTAATTGTGGGGAAAGTACAGGTAGTCCTCAACTTACAACCACAATTGAGTCCAAAATTTATGATGCTAAGGGAGACATTTGTTAACTGAATTTTGCCCCATTTTATGACCTTTATTGCCATAGTTATTACATGAATCATTGACGTTAAGTGAATCTGGCTTCCCCATTGACTTTGTTTGTCAGAAGATCGCAAAAGGTGATCACTTGATCCCAGTTCACTGCAACTGTCATAAATATTCTGTCTGAATTTTGATCACATCTTCATGGGGATAGGGTAACTGTCATAAATGTGAAAAACTGTCATAAGTCACTTTTTTCAGTGATGTTATAACATTGAACAGTCACTAAATGATCTGTTGTAAGTTGAGGATTACCTGTACTGTAGAGAAATACATAAAAGCTGAATTTTACAAAAGCCACCAGGTATTTACAAATCCTTGCTAAAAGTGTAAAAAGTTTGAGATTTTTGCAACTTTATTCAGTATTTTAAAAATGATGGGAAAAAGATTTGAAATTAGAAAATAAAATGAACAGTTTCAATTCCTGAAAAAAATGGGTCTTTTTGACATCAGCTTTTGAATTAAATAATTTTGAGAGTAATTTCTGCTTGGTTCTTTAGTTTGGGAGAACAAATGATCACCTCATTTAGATACATATAATATACATGCATATATATATTACTTTTTCTAAATTGCCTTGCCTGATACATTTCTTCTGGTGGAGTACAAAGTAGACATCTAGTCAGGCAGCAGTACAGTTAGCAGCATTATTAAACCATACAGATATTAACGAATAGTTTAGCTTTGTTATTTTACTGTACAAATATTTATAACTTGAATAAAATAATCACACTTAATGATAGACATGAATCATAGGATTTGTAAATCAAACATAGCTTCTATGGCTAAGATCCAAAGTAGTAAATCAAATTTGCATTTTCAGTACAGATTTGGGATTTGAACAACCAGCACTTAATATGTATTTTAGAACCAAATTTGTAATAAGTTGTGAGATCTTTCTGTTTAAAAGCAGGAGTCAAAACTTTTTATTATTTGTATTTGTGTTAATTGATATGCTATTGTAACTCTTTGAATCTTTGCCTGTTAGTCTGTTTCACTTTTTAAGAATGTGTGTGTGTGTGTGTTTGTATGTGTATATAAATACAGACTTGAAAAGTTACTGAAATTAGGGAGCAGAATAGGTGTACAATATTTGGGAAACACTGCAAGGAAACCAGTGGACATTACTAGAGCCTATATGATTATATCAGTTAAAAGATTTTTTAATTGCTTTTATAAACTAGTTATTTGCATTTCACCTGCTGGCTATTCCATTTTAGTAGATAAAATTCTGAAAATCCAGCAGGGTTTTATAATCCCCACATGCTTAAATATACTAAATGTTCTTTTTCCATTAAGGTTAATGTTCGTGAAGAAATGGAAGAGTTTTTTCCAAGAATGTGGAAGATAAATCAAGATAAAAGAAGGCTAATGAAAAGTGTTAAAGATCAGAAAATTAAAATTGAATGGGGGAAAAAATTGAACAGAAGATTGGTCAGATAGAAGCACTTGAATATTTTTAAGGCTATAATGAATTGTTTGAATTGGGGAAGAATACACGAAGTATGAAAAATGAAAAACTCAATGAAGAATGAAGAAAAGTAGAAAGCAAGAGTGAAGTAGAATTAAAAGAATCTGGAAGAATGAATGGGTCCTAGGTTAAGTAAATGTATGGCTTATGTTCCAGTGTCTGTCTGATCAAGTTATAGATGAATTTGCATGATTACTTAGTTAATAGAATATTGGACATCTGGTTCATATAGGGAATTATTTGAGGAAATTGTACAATATTAATAGTGGGTTAAAGAGAATCTTGTCCTGGAGGGTATTGCCTAACCATTTATTTTTCAGGCACAATCAATAAAATATAGTTACTTTTAACTTAAGAAGGTAGGCATTTGTGCAACCAATACCATTTGTAATACTGCTTCTTTCGGTAGGAATCACGCTCCCAGTCAAAATCTCCAGCTGGGAGTCCTGCTCGTGCAAAATCTGAGAGCAGGTCACGATCTCATAGCCCATCAAAAGCTTCTAAACATTCTGAATCACACTCTCGGTCAAGATCAAAATCCAGGTATGTTTATGTTTATTAAAAAATTGAATATGTTAAATTTTACTTGTACACTTGTTGCTTGGATCTTTCACTGGACAATTATAGAACTAAGATTTTTGTCAGGTCTTGAAAAATGCCCTGAAACTTCATAAATAATCATATAGTGATAATGGCAAAAATAAAAAGTTAACATTATGATATTGTAAAATCCATCAGAACAGTTGTACTAGGCTTGTTTTCAAGCAGTTGTGATGTGCTTTAACAATGTGCATGTATAGACATGTAAATATAGAAATACCGGTAAGCCATTTAAATTCATAGCTACATGTAGTTATGAAAAATATGAAAATATTCCTATAGTAATACAGGTAGTCCCTGAGGTACGTACCTAATGGAACCGGGGCATTAGGCTCGTAAGTCAAAAACTCGAATCAGACTCAATTTTATAAATTATTAAAATTAAATTCATTAATTAAATCAAATGGATTGTTAAAAGAATGAAAATCTGATTTACTATTTCCTCCGATAACTGCCATGTTAACTGAACTGGGAGGGTTTCCCGCCAGCCGCCCATCATCTGTTTCCGGTGTGTTCAGGAACTAAATTGCCTCCAAGCAGGGCTTGCAGCCATTAAATTATTTTTTAAAAAAAAAACTTGCTAGTCAGCTCAAGCATCTTCAGCTAACTGTTCCTTTAAAAAAATACAAAACAACTTGTCACTAATTAGCTTAAGAGTCTCCAGCCAGGCACCCAGAGGGAGATGGGGGAGGAACTTGCAGAACTCTTGGCTTGCAATAGTAAAAGAGATGGAAGGGATCTTGAAGTCAACTAGTCTAACCCACTGCTCTCACAAGAAAGTATCTCTGATAAATGCCAATGCAGTCTCTTCTTAAAAGCTTCCAGTGATGGGCACCCACAGCTTCTAGAGGCAATTTAAATATAAAACCTACAAACTACAGTAATATATTCTAATCTCCAAAATAAAAGCTTAATAGTTTGCAAACACAATAGTTTGCAAAGTACAATACTTAAGAAGCAGAGCAGTTCCCAAAAGAGTAACAAAAAAAATATTTAAAAATATTTACAGAAGTAATTGTAGCACTTGAGCTCAGGCAATAGCAGATTGCAGCAAAAGCAAAAACTGGTGCCAGCTCAGCTCTTGTTTGCCTATGTGACCAAGGGACAACCCTCCCCTTCCAGCTTCTCATACCCCGAATGGCCCAGGCAAGTCACAGAGTTAACATGGCAGCCATTTGCAGCAGAGACACATAGCTACAAGTCACATAGCTACAGATGCCTCTATTTGGTCACAATTTTGAGTATTTAATGTAAATATCCTTTCTGAATTAATTTGTTTTTGTGAAAACTCACCAAATAAATGTTGGTACCTGGGGGATTACCTGTAAATAAAGACTATTTGAAGAGAAGTTCAGAAATTTCCATGACAAATTGTGTCCCAAATAAAAATACATGCATTTCTGCTCATTTCACACCTTCTCAAATAGAGTGGCAGTGGCCATGCAGTTTTTCTGCAGTTTACTGCTCCAGTGTAGAATGTTAAGACTAGTAATGCTTCATTTCTTTGCCTTAAAAAAAACAAATATCTGTTTTAGGATAGGTGAGGGTTAGAATTTTTTTAGGAGATTTCCTCAATATGTAACTGCAGCATAATAACGGCATGTCAGGTGCAGATCTTATTCCATAAATTGCCCGTAAGTTTTGAAAAACAATGAATTTAATATCTTAAAATTTTAACAGTTATATAAATCAGTTGTTTTAAATTGTTATTAATAACCTTTAATATTAATTTTGATGGTCTATTGCAGTTTTTATATGGAACTTTATTTTTACCATTTAAAGATCTAGATCCAGAAGACATTCTCACAGGCGATATACTCGCTCTAGATCCCATTCTCACAAGCGGCGATCACGAAGTAGATCTTATACCCCAGAATATCGGCGTCGAAGGAGCCGAAGCCACTCTCCTATGTCTAACCGAAGAAGGCATACTGGCAGCAGAGTATGTAGTGTAAGCTTGTAGGAATATTATTATTTTTTTCATTAATTTAAGTTGGCTGACTATAATACAGTTTCTATAGTCAAGGAAAAAAGACAAGTCTTTATATTTTCTGCTTTATAGGCACAGTTGCATTCATCTTAGCTACCATAAGTTACCCAAAAAGTAAATGTGTGTTTTGCTAGCTAAACTTGTTCTTTATTCCTCTTGTTCACAATAAGGTGTGGATTAGAGATGGTGAGAAGTGGTAGCTTGGTGGAAGGAATTAAGGAACCAAAGCAGCTTGCTTCTGAAGTTTCTGCTAAAAAATTATACTAATATTTCTTTAGAGAATTGGATTGGCCATGGAGAACACAAGTTTAAACCCTTTCCTTAGGAGGAGATATTTAAATAGCATAATTTAAATTACATGATAACTTGTTTAAAATCCATGATGAGATGAGGAACATTGATACATAGCTCACTCCACAGTAGATTCCTTTCTTGTGCCTCTCTTATAATTTAAATGAAAACGTCTTTTAAAAAAAAGTTTGATACAGTGATGGATTAAACATAGCATATTTCTGTTCCCTTTATATGCTACTCAGAATGCAGCTGAAATATTTTGCTATCACTGTTTCTGGGGTAAGGTTGTATAAATGAAGTACTACAGTAGTCCTCAATTGACAGCCATTTGTTTAGTGACTGTTTGAAGTAACAACGGCACTGGAAAAAGTGGTTTATGACCATTTTTCACATAACCATTGCGGTATCCCTGTGGTCATGTGATCAGAGTTTGGATGTTTGGCAACTGGCATGTATTTATGACAATTGCAGTGATCCGGTGTCATGTGGTCATCTTCTGCAACCTTTGGCAAGTAGAGTCAATGGGAAAGTCATATTTGCTTAATGACTGTGTTACTAATTTAACAACTGCAATAATTCACTTAAGTGTAACAAGAAAGGTCATAAAATGGGACAAAACTCACTTAAATGTCTTGCTTAGCAATGGAAGTTTGAGTTCAATTGTGGTCATAAGTCAAGGACTACCTGTAACAGATTTAACTGTCAATAATAAGACACTTAATAGTTTAACTTGATACATTTTAGGCTAATCCGGATCCTAATTTATGTCTTGGAGTGTTTGGCCTCAGTTTATATACTACTGAGAGAGATCTTCGAGAAGTCTTTTCCCGTTACGGACCATTGAGTGGAGTCAATGTGGTGTATGATCAACGGACTGGGCGATCAAGAGGATTTGCTTTCGTTTACTTTGAAAGAATAGACGATTCTAAAGAGGTAAAACTTTTTCTGAAATTATCAGGGTTTTGTTTTGTTTTTTTGCAAAGGGGCTTGTTAACTTTGAAACTACCTAATAAATTATACAGATAAATGTCTGCAATCACATATATAATGAAATGTGGCTTATTTTGATGACTTTAACTATAGTTTAGCTTATGTAGGATCCTAAATATATGGCTAATCTTGATTATGTTTTTTAAAACACAACCTCATATATCAGGTTTTATGATTTTATCCAATTAACGTTAATAACTATTCTGAAGAACAAAGGATGCATCCTGGATGTGGGTCAGTATATTTCATGCAGGTAGTCCTTGACTTACATTAACAATTAGGAACAGATTGCATCACAAGTCAAGACACTATATGATCTAACCCAATTTTAACAGTTATTTTTACCACGGTTCTAAGTTGAGTCATGCGGTTATATATGTAAATCCAATTTAACCAATGGCAGGTTTTGCCAGAAACTAAACAAATGCCATCACATGATCAGGGTGATGCAACCAATCATAAATACAGGCTGCTTGCTAACTGCTCAGGTTGTGATTACATGACCTTTAGGGGATAGGGCAAAAGTCAGAGAAGTTTCAATTTAGGTCATAACTGGCTTCTGTAGATAGGTATTAATCCAAATTATTATTAAGCAAATGGTTGTAAGTTGAAGTTTACCTGTATACATTTCTAGACATCTAGGTAGGATGTTGGCTAGTTTGCTTGCCAGGTGGTCTCTAGTGTAGAGAGACCACTGTAGAAAGAAAAAATCTTCATCAGGGTCCAGTCCAAGCCAGGAATAAACAAAATGGAGATTGCTTTAGAAAGAAGGTTGTGGTTTATTAAAGAGCGGAGCCAGACAGCAATGTGACTCTGGGAAAGCTGAACACGTGTTGCTGGGAGTGGTGGGTTTTTATACCTTCTGGGGCTTTTGAGGTTATTTCCTGTTCCTGTTTGAGGCTTTGTATTTCCTGTGCCATGTACTTTGACCTGAGTCTGAGTGTGCCCTTTTTGGTATTGGTGGATTAATACTATTATGTTTCCTGTCCTTAGACTTTGGGTGAGGTATGTAGATTTTGGGGGTCTTTGTCTTCCTAATCTCATCAGCTTCTAGCTTTCTGGCTGCCTTTTTAAAGATCTTCTCCATTATTCCTTTGGAGAAATATATTCTGCCTTTTTAATATTCCCCACAATATTTCTTTCTCTGGATTCCTCCCACACTACCTTGCATGTTAAAGCATAAGTGTACTTGGGTAAAACTAGGCTTTGGTTTTATTTTGACATTATGAACAAAATGTGCCAATATTGACCAGTGCATATTATTAGCAAGGAGTGTTCTATGTAGCACAAATTTATTGGAGGCTGATAATTTTGCACCTTTTCTATTATAAAAGTGTTATTTGAAAGTCTTGAATGATCAGTATCAGGACATGCAGCGCAGATCAATATCTCTGCGAATTTCTCAGTGACAGTGGTAAATTATGAAGAGCACAAATTAAATGACAAAAATAGAGATAGTCCTCAACTTACAACAGTTCATTTAGTTCAAAGTTACAACGGCATTGAAAAAAGATGACATGACAATTAGTCACATTTATGACCATTGCAACAGCCCCATGGTCACGTAATTTACATTTGGATGCTTGACTGATTCATAGTTAACGATGGTTGCAGTGTTCCGGGATCACGTGATCATCTTTTGTGATCTTGATTTACAAGCCAAGTCAATAGGGAAGCCAGATTCACTTAATTGTGTTATTAATTTAACAACTGCAGTGATTCACTTAACAAATGGCAAGAAAAGTTGTAAAATGGGGCAAAGCTCAATAAATTTCTCACTTAGCAACATAAAATTCTGGGCTCAAATGTGGTCCTAAGTAGAGGACTACCCATATATGTTTGAGATTAGATTAAGAGAAATAGAGTTGAACGAAGGTCTGATTTTTTGAATGGAAAGTAAAGATGTAGGTTTAGTTATGAATGAAAGGGCTAATATGTATGTTTGAAAGTATGAACAGGTGTTATTTATATTGTAAGTATGTCTTAAAACTAGAAATCCATAGGTTAATACTAGGGAAAACTAGATATCAGTATTGGAAATTAATCTTTCCATTGATACTATAGTGAATAAATTAAATCCTTAGAGCTAAGAATTATGTCAGTATCAAATCAGGTTTTGGGTTGCTTTTACATTTTTGGCTATTTTTCAAAGTTGAAGTTGTGCATATCTCTATAAATTAATCTAAACCCTTTCAGGATTCTCATTCTTCTGATATGTGTTTTTATAAACAATATTCATTTTACTATAATTTGCATTTAATAACATTTCTGTGAAGGTGGAAAGATTCATAAAATACAAACAGAAACCAGAATAAATTCATTTGGATGAAAAAGCTAAATAATTTTATATTTGTAATATTGATACTACAATTGCAATTAACATTGATAGATTTTTTTCTCTTTTCCATTCTTAGTATTCTAAGCTATCTAAATAAAAAAATAGCTTTAAACATTATGCAGACATCAGTGTATTGAAACAGCATAATATATAAGATTTACAACATAATAAAAAGGAAAAAATATTTCTGTGGAATTAAAAGAAACGCTAGGTGGCAGTATAGTCTACATTTAATGTGGTTTTAGAGAACGTTAAATAGGGATATATTGAATATTCCATATTCCTGTTATTTTGTTTCAAGCTATAAATAATACAGAACTAGCTTCTTCAGTCTATGAATTTAATCTCTAAATTCTCTAGTTTCCCTCTTAAGTATAATTATTTAAATTAAATAATAATATACTAAAATGCGTTTGAAGCTAATGCATAAGTGTTATTGTACAATAGGGCAATTCTGTCTATGCAAGGACATTCTGAGTAAACATCCTGATAGGTCTATCTATTATGATATAGAAACAGTAATTCTCTATGGAATGGCATTAACTTTTTCTAACAAAATATTTGATAGCAAGCAGGCATTTACCTCATTAACAGGAATTATCAATTTTTAAATATCTTAACATGAACATGTTACTTGGTTCTTAAGCTAATGAAGTACACTATTGAGAATATTTTGAAAAATAATTTAGTGACTTGATATAAAGCAGCAGTTAACAGCAAGTTTCAAACTGATTCTGTAAGGGATGGATCCTAATGTAAAATCAGTCTCGTGATATATTAAACATGTTTTAAAAGATATTTTTATTGTTACAATAGTAAAATATATAGGAAAAAGTTTGTGTTAAATAGGGACAATAGAATAAAACAAAAGAATGCAAAAACTTTCCATATTCTTGCCCTCTGTTACAAATGACTAAATTTGCCTTACTGTGCAATGGGAAATACATATGGGAGCCATCTTTACTTAAATTTAATTAGATTTCTATTAAGTAGATGTCATTGCTACATATTTTGTCATTGCTACATATTCTCCATTTTTAGTTTTTCAATCTAATATTGTAGGTAAAGTTTCTCTTTTCCGATACTGTGCCAAATTTGTTCTTGCAGTTGTCATATATTTTAGTAAATTGTGATATTTTTCATTTATACTCAATAAAAATATTTGTGCATTCAGTTTAAACTTTATGTTTAGGATTTTCCGATGTTTTTATGTATTTCTAACACTTTTGAAGTTTTTTTAACATCACCACCACAGTGTTTAAAGTGATGAATAAGTAGAGAAGATACTAATTAGAAAGTCACATAAATGGGAATCTATTCTGTAAAAGAATAAGAGAGGGTTAATGGATTTATGAAAAAATTAAAGGCAGAAGTTAATGGATCTGTGAGAAATGTGACATGTTTTTAAGTTAGATGTTTAGTTTTGTATTTGGAGGTTATGTTTTTATGTGTTTATTGTGTTTTGATGCTTATTTTATGTGTAGAGCTTTAATAATATTTATATAGATTAAAAAAAATAACTGGGATCTCTTCTGGAAGAATTGAGTATCATTGAAACTTCAGTGATACCCAATTCTTCTAAAAGAAATGAAATGGAAGTAGACAGGGAAAACATGAAATGAAGCTGAATCTGCAAGAAGCCATACTGCTGGATGCCCCTGATCATGCTTTCCTCTTATGTCTCTGATTGAAGGTAATCGTAGAATTCTTTGCTTTAGTTAAATTTAGTTTATCTTTTTTTTGCCTTACTTAGGAACAAAGTGTCAGGAATGCAATAGCATCTTCCTGTGTTGGCTTAAAAGTGATCATATTTAATTCCCCCTCCCCCATTAATTTGTAGAAGATTACTAGATACAGGCATTATAAGAGGGTTTTTTCCCCCCTTTCTTGTAGGCTATGGAACATGCAAATGGAATGGAGCTGGATGGTAGAAGAATCCGAGTAGATTACTCTATCACAAAGAGAGCACATACACCCACCCCTGGTATCTATATGGGCAGACCAACTCAGTAAGATATTTATTGTCTTAGCCCTATTACTATGAGAAATGCATTTGCCATGGGACTTTAAGTAAACATGTTGCATTCTAATGACTGCTTTATTTCACTTTATTGTTTCTACAAATGGGACTTTAAGTAAACATGTTCCATTCTAATGACTGCTTTATTTCACTTTATTGTTTCTACAAATATATTCTATGACTGGCATTTTAAGTGAAACTTGAGAGCCCAATGAATAACATGACTTGTTAATTCCAAATTCCAAGCAATCTATCTCAATAGAGTGTTCTATCAGAAGGTTTCAAAAGATTGGCTTCCAATATAGCATAACAAATAATTCCAATATTTTGCTATAAGAAACCAATGGAACACAAAGTAAGCCCATTTTTCTCTTTTATGTTTTAGTCCTGGTGCTCCAGAAATAGGTGTATTTGTGGTCTATACTGAGTATTTTCTGAAGAATGAATAAATAATAATAATAATAATAATAATAATAATAATAATAATAATAATAATAATAATAATAAAGTTGGAAGGGACCTTGGAGGTCATCTAGTCCAACCCCCTGCTCAGGCAGGAAACCCTATACCACGGCTTGGCAACCTGCGGCTCCAGAGCCTCCTCCGTCATTTGCAGAGAGAGACAGAGAGGCACTTTCGCTTCCCTCTCTCTCTCAGGCGGACTTACCTCCTGCAGGGCTCCTGATTGGCCCTGCGCTCGGGTGTCCCACCCCCTGGGAGAAGCGCGGCCAGGGCCTCGTGGCCTTGGAGCCGCCCGGAGAAGCCCCGGGATCCCTGCTGGGAGCGGCCCGCTGGAGGCTCCGCTGAGTGGGCCAGCCCTCCCGCAAGCCGCGGCCCAAGGGAGACCAGCCCCTGCAATCCCCAGCCAGCCCGACCATTGGCCCCGCTGGCCGGGAAGGCGCGCCGGAGTCCAGGCTGCCGGGAAGGAAGAAGGAGATGCAGCAATGGTAGGAGAGGAGAACCGCCTCCTGGGGTCCGGCGTTGGTGGCGGCTTCCTTGCCCTCCTCTTCCTCCTCCCCTTCTTCCTCCTGCTGCCCCCAGGTGGCTTGGGTGGGCGCCGGGACAAGAGGGATACCTGGGGGGAGCGGAGGGACTGGCAAGGGCTGCGCGGTACCAGCCTCCACCGCGGCTCCATCGGATGGGCTGAGGGCGAGGCCGGGCAGCGCGGAGTCCCGGCTGGGGCGGCGGCGGTTTCCTCGCCCTTCTCCTTCCTCCTGGTGCCCCCCGGGCGTCTCAGGTGAGTGCCGGGGCAAGAGGGGTACCTAGGGGTGAGCAGCCGGGCTGGTGGAGGGGCTGGCAGGGGCCGCGCGGCACCAGCGCCCACTGCGGCTGCATCGATGGGCAGAGGGCGAGGCCGGGCAGCGTGGAGTCCCGGCTGGGGCGGCTGCTTCCTCGCCCTCCTCTCCTTCCTCCTGCTGACCCCCAGGCGGCTCGGACAGGCGCTGTCCCCACCGTGGCTCCATTGATGGGCGGAGGGCGAGGCTGGGCAGCGTGGAGTCCCAGCGGGGGGGGGCGGGGACCCCCCGACGATGCAGCCGTGCCACCTCCGCTGCCCCCAGAGCCGCTGCCTCATGTCCTGCTCCCCCTCCCCACCCGTTCAGCTGAGGACGCGGTGGAGGCCGGGCCGGGGGCGGCAGGGAACAGGAAAAGAGAGAGGAAAGAGAAAGGAAAGAAGAGAGAGAGGAAAGAGAAAGAAGAAAAAGAAAAGGAGAGGAAAGAAAAGGGGAGAGGAAAGAAAAAGAGAGGAAAGGGAAAGAGGGAGAGGAAAGAGAAAGAAGGGGAGAGGAAGGGAAGAGAGAAAGGAAGAAGAAAGAGAAAGGGGGAGAAGAAAGAGAAAAAGGAAAGGGAGAGGAAAGAGGGAGGGGGAGAGAGGAAAAAGAAAGGAAAGAGACAGAGACCAAATTTGACATCTAAAATGAAGATAACACTGCATATATCCTTGTTTACCTTTATTTTATATACGCACACATACATACATATATTAAAGGTAAAAAAGGATATATGCAGTGTTATCTTCATTTTAGATATCAAAAGGGTTTTGCGGCTCCCAGTGTTTTGTTTTCGGTGGGAAACCTGTCCAAGTGGCTCTTTGAGTGTTTTGGGTTGCCTACCCCTGCCCTATACCATTTCGGACAAATGGCTGTCCAGTCTCTTTTTAAAAACTTCCACTGTTGGAGCATTCACCGCTTCTGGAGGCAGGTTGTTCCACTGGTTAATTGTTCTAACTGTCAGGAAGTTTCTCCTTAGTTCTAGATTGCTTCTCTCCTTGATTAGTTTCCATCCATTGCTTCTTGTCCTGCCTTCAGGAGCTTTGGAAAAATAGCTTGACTCCCTCTTCTTTGTGGCAGCCCCTGAGATACTGGAAGACTGCTATCATGTCCCCCTCGTCCTTCTCTTCGTTAAACTAGACATACCCAATTCCAGCAACTGTTCCTTATATGTTTTAGCCTCCAGTCCCCTAATCATCTTTGTTGCTCTTCTCTTTACTCTTTCTGGAGTCTCAACATGTTTTTTACATTGTGGCGACCAAAACTGGATGCAGTATTCCAAGTGTGGCCTTACCCAAGGCATTGTAAAGTGGTATTAACACTTCATGTAATCTTGATTCTATCCCTCTGTTAATGCAGCCTAGCACTTTGTTGGCTTTTTTGGCAGCTGCAGCACACTGCTGGCTCATATTTAAATGATTGTCCACTAGGACTCCGAGATCCCTCTCACAGTTACTACTATTGAGCAAGGTACCCCCTATACTATACCTGTGCATTTGGTTTTTCTTGCCATAACATTCAATGTGGCATGCATTTTTGCAGTTTTTCTTGAAAAATAGCTCAGAACCTAAAACGAATAAACAAACTAGAATAAATTAGAAATACTACAGGAATGTTAACTGGAGTTGAAAGGTTGCTAAAAAAGGAAGGCTCTCAATACTGTGAGGAAAGCTAAGGCTCAAAATGAACTAAGGCTTGCAACAAAAGTAAAAAATAAAAAGCTTCTTTCAACATGTAAAAAAACAAGAAAAATGTTAAGGAAATGATTGGTCCACTAGTGGGTGAAAGTGGCAAAAAAGTGACAAGCAATAGGGAGAAAGCAGAACTATTTAACTTGTTTTTTGCATCTGTCTTTACACAAAGGGAAAAAACAAACCTACCTATCAAAAATAGTACTATAAAAAACAATAGAAATACAAGTTAAGATAGGCAAGAAAATGGTAAGTGAGCACCTGTCCAGCTTAGACGAGTTCAAATCACCAGGACCAGATGGATTACACCCCAGGGTTCTCAAGGAACTGACAGATGTGATCTCAGAACCACTTAACTATATCTTTCAAAGATCCTGGAGCACTGGGGAACTACCAGAGGACTGGAAAAGAGCTGATGTAGTTCCCATCTTCAAAAAAGGAAAAACCTCAATACCTGGGAAGATTCTGGAAAAATAAATCAAGCAACGAATCAGCGAGCACCTAGAGTCAAACAAAGTCACTACCTAAAGCCAATATGGGTTTGTTAAAAACAGATCATGCCAGACAAATTTTATTGCATTCTTTGACCAAGTGACAAAATTAGTGGACCAGAGGAATGCTGTGGATATAATTTACTTGGACTTCAGTAAGGCATTTGACAAAGTAGATCACAACCTACTATTTTATAAGATAGAAAAATGTGGGTTAGACAGCATCACCACCAGATGGATTCGTAGCTGGCTGACCGGCCCTACTCACATGTGGTCCTCAATGGAACTGCATCTACATGGAGGGAAATGTGGAGTGTGGTGCCCCAGGACTCTGTTCTGAGCCCAGTGCTCTTCAACATCTTCATCGATGATTTGGATGAGGGGATAGGGAAACTCATCAAATTTGCAGATGACACCAAGCTGACATGAATAGCCAACACTCCAGAAGATAGGCTTAAGATACAGGAGGATCTTGACAGACGTGAACATTAGGCACTATCTAACAAAATGAAATTCAATGGTGAAAAAAGTAAGGTTCTAAATTTAGGCAAGAAAAACCAAATGCACATGTATAGTATAGGTCAGTGATGGCGAACCTTTTAGAGACTAAGTGCCCAAACTGCAACCCAAAACCCACTTATGCATCATCAAGTGCCGGGTGGGTGTGGCCCATTGGGTGGGCATGGCTGCGGTGGTAATGGCCGGCTGGGTGGGACTAAAAAGTTCAGTCAATCCCAACTTTGCAAGATCTATTTTTTTCTGTGAAAAGTTGAAATTGACTGATTGAACCTTTTTTTTTTTTCTTTTTTTTTTTTTGCCCATGGCGGCAGAGGCCTAAAGCGAAAAGGTTTTATAAAACCCAGCTGAAGGCCTCGGACTGGGGCAATGGCGCGCATGCCCACAGAGAGGGCTCTGAGTGCCGTCTCTGGCACCCGTGCCATGGGTTCGCCACCACTGGTATAGGTGGTACCTTGCTCAGTAGTAGTAACTGAGAGGGATCTCGGAGTCCTAGTGGACAATCACTTAAATATGAGCCAGCAGTGTGCTGCAGCTGTCAAAAAAGCCAACACAGTGCTAGGCTGCATTAACAGAGGGATAGAATCAAGATCACACGAAGTGTCAATACCACTTTACAATGCCTTGGTAAGGCCACACCTGGAATACTGCATCCAGTTTTGGTCACCATGATGTAAAAAAAGAGGTTGAGACTCTAGAAAGAGAACAGAGAAGAGCAACAAAAATGATCAGGGGACTGGAGGCTAAAACATATAAGGAACGGTTGCTGGAAATGGGAATGTCTAATCTAATGAAGAGAAGGATGAGGGATGACATGATAGCAGTGTTCCAATATCTCGGGGGTTGCCACAAAGAAGAGGGAGTCAAGCTATTCTCCAAAGCACCTGAAGGCAGGACAAGAAGCAACGGATGGAAACTAACCAAAGAGAGAAGCAACCTAGAACAGGAGAAACTTCCTGACAGTTAGAACAATTAACCAGTGGAACAACCTGCCTCCAGAAGCTGTGAATGTTCCAACAGTGGAAGTTTTTAAAAAGAGACTGGACATACATTTGTCCGAAATGGTATAGGGTTTCCTGCCTCAGCAGGGGGTTGGACTAGATGACCTCTAAGGTCCCTTCCAACATCATCATCCTCATTATTATTATTATTATTCCTGTAGCATATTTATTCATTTTTTTCCTGAGATTAGGACAAGACTCCAGCACATTTTATAAATGATTTTCAATATCTGATGCCAGTTTGAATAATTGCTGAAATTAAGTCAACTATGAATCATCAGTTCCTTCATTAGGAGTATTGTCTTGATCTTTGAGACAAAATCTTAAATAGATGTATAGCTTTCAGCATAACCTGTCTGAACTGTCTCTCTTTTTTTAATAAAAGCAGTGGAGGTGGAGGTGGTGGAGGAGGAGGAGGTGGTGGAGGAGGAGGAGGAGGAGGAACTGGCCGTCGCCGTGATTCCTATTATGATAGAGGATACGACAGAGGATATGACAGATATGAAGAATATGATTATCGCTATAGGTAAGTATTCAAATTAGATGTGGAAGTTATGGGAAACTTTAATACAAGCAATACATTCCGATACAGTGATTTTTAAAAGTTTGTGAAGCCTTTTAAATGTTCAGTATTTCTACATAAATATGACCTAAGACATGATCTATTCTCCACACATCTTAAAACTAGATAAAGAGAATCTATTTATAAAGCAGTAAAAAAATGTATATCTCTTCATTTATTTATTATTTATTTCAATAACGGGTGCTTCCATTGGGCAGTAGTAACTGCAGTTAAAGGTAACTGCAATTAAATGTTCCACTATTGATCAGTCCTGCACATTAGGTTGGAAGAATTTTAGCTTATTCCTGGTTTCAGAACACTTCAACTTCTAGAGAGCCAGTGTGGTCTAGTGTTAAGGCACCAGACTAGTAATCAGGAGTCTATGAATTCAAGCCCTGCCTTAGCCATGAAAGTCAGCTGGGTGACCTTGGGCTAGTCACACACACTCTTTTCCAGCTCAGGTCACAGGGTTATTGTAGGGAAGGCATGTTGAATATGTTCGTTCAATAATAAAAATGGAATACAAATAAATAAAATTTTCAAAGTTCTGTTTTGGTCTCCTTCACCATCTACAGAAAATTTTTCCATTAGCCTTTCAGCTTAAACTGGTGGTTTTTCATAAATGATAGATGGCAGAAATTTTATTTTTGGAGAGTACAAGTAGTCCTTGGTTTACAACCACAATTGAGCCCAGAATTGTGGTCCTAAGTCAGTGGTGGCAAATCTATGGCAGAGGCGGGACTCGGAGCCCTCTCTGTGGGCACACGTGCTGTTGTCCCAGCCTTGCTTCCCCCCCATGGCCCCCTCCTCACCAACAGCCCCCCTGGAGGAAAGTCGCCCCCGAGCGTGGCCCACGCGGAGCAGCGCAGCCAAGAACATGGCAGCCAGGCAGTGTAGACAAGACTCTGCCGTCATGCCCCATTGCACAGTTGATACTGTGGGGCACGGGCAGAGGGCGTGGCCCCAATGGTGCTGCTGGGCTGCCTGGGCAATTGGGGGTCCTGGAAGAGATGAGTGGCCCTGCGGGCAGGCGGGGTGGGGATGGGGGTGGAGCGTGGGTGGGCCCAGTTTTTGGGCACTCGGTCTCTAAAAGGTTCGCCATCACTGTCCTAAGTTATGGTGGCTGTTAAGTGAGACACCCAGATGATTGTCTTACTTAATAGCCACAATCCCTGATCTTCTTATTGCAGTCATTAAGAGGAGCAATGGGTATTTCAGAGTTGAAAAGTCCATAAAAAGACCAACACGGGCCCAGGCTTATACTGTAGTACCCCCCTAGCTCATATGTAACCTGCTTTCGACTTCCTAGGTCTTTCACCACCACCTGAGAAACCCTTTGGCCCACTTCCCACCTTGCTGTGTCCCAGGCTCTTGGGTTTCCTCCCCCATCTTTCTCCAATTACCTTTTCCAAAGATTGCCTTTGGGAAAGAAAACCAACCAATCTACACCTCTGCTGTTCTTTCATCTCCACCTCTTCTGCTTTCATTTTAAAAAAGAGACATCAAACAAGTTATGCTGAAAGCTATACATCTATGCAGAAATCGTTTCATACCATTTTGGAAGTGGCTACAATTCTCAAATTGCAAGAATTGCAGTCATTCCCAAAACGATGCTTATTCCAGCCTCTGTATAGGATAGCCATTTGGCAGATCACCCAGTTCTGTGTCCCAAAAGCAATTTTTGAGATTGGCTCTGGGAAAGAAAATCTGCCAATCGACCATGTGACCTTTCTATACAGAAGCCACTTGGTACAGTCCTGGAAGTGATAATTATTTTGGGAGCAAGCACAATTTTTGGATTGCAAGAATTGCAGCTGTTTCTAAAATGGAGTTCAATTCTGGGCTGACACCATGTGTCCTCTGTACAGGAAAACTGTGTGGCAAATTGACAAGTTCTCTTTGGTAAAGGTGATCTTCAGAAAAGGTATGTGAAGTGAGGCATGACTGAAGGTGAAGAGACCCAAGTGTATGGGACCCACTTGGGTAGGGGGATAAGCACAAGGGACCCAACAGGGTGAGATAGGTGGAAGATAGGCAGGTGGAGCAATTGCAGCATTCCTGTGGTCAGTTGTAAGGAAGGGTGGATTGCCAAGCTCCCAAATTTTGTTCATGTGACCATGGGGTGCTGCTGCAAATTCTGGTACATTTAGTGCTATCATAATTTCAAATATTTGCTGAACAAATGGTGGTAAGTCAAGGGCTTACCTGTAGTAGTTTTCTTCTTTCAACTCTGCTATTATTGTTCAGTTTCTCCTGATAGTGGTCTCATGAACACCTAAATTCATCAGTGAAGAGAGGCCTTTAATCCCTTCAACATTATTCTTGGGTCTTTTGAGACCTCCAGCAATATTACAGGCATTAGTCTTGGTGTGATCTTGATTGTTCAACCCTTCCTAAAAGGTTAAATGCATCCATTTATACACAATTTGCCTGACAGTGGATTGGCAGAATCCAACTCCTGAGAAATAGTTTTGTAAGCTTTTCCAGCCTGATAAGCACCAACAACTTTTCTGGAGGTCCTCGGAAATCTCTTTTATTGGAGCTCAAACACACTTCCCCATTTAGCAGAGATGGACAATCCAAGAGTCATACATTTCCCCTAATTTCCCATTTGTGGACACCAGACCACTCTGAGAGTGCACTACTAAATTTGGGAGACAAACGCTCAATTATCTACACTGCAGATTTAAAGTGACAGATAGAAGTATATGGTCTGCATAAGCCAAATCCCACCTGTAAATTTCTCTTAAAATGTGTGAAAAATATGCTCAGAATGTTCAGGCCTACCTCTTCCAGGACATTGCCAGAAAGTCTTTTGCAATATTTGGAAAACTAAGTTTATTTCTTTATTATTTATTAAATTTCTATACTGCCCATCTTATCTAAGTGACTCTGGGCAGTTTACAGACAAGTTACTGCTCATATATAACATGATTTTTCATTTGTATTGTGTTTGAAGTGAATAGTAACAAACAATATTTTAACCATTTTATTGGCAGATATTAATTAATATGATATAGTGAATATTTTTAAAATACTCAAAATATCACAATAAAACCAATTAAATAAAATAGTGTGAAAGCTGGCAGCATAATAATAAATATGCTGAATATTTCATTAAAAATGAATGAAATTTTGTAATTTGTGTTGGGGGGAAGGAGTGACCATCTTTTATTACTACTTTTAAAAGCCAAACTGGTAATAGTACACAAGTTTTCTAACAAGGAACGTTCTTTGTTCCTTGTTAGAAAATAATCAGTCACGTGTAATCAGTTGATTATTTTCTAATAAAAAAGAAGAGGGATATCTTCTATCATTGCATGTTCCTGTTATACTTTTTTTTTTTTTTTAGGAAAAAAATAGATTCATTAGATCTTATCAGGATGAGATTACCTTGTTTGTATCCTACAAAAGAGGCAAAATAAATAGGGAGTGAGTTTCCCATGCAGTTTTTTAATTTTCTATAGGTGCCACACCCTTGATTCTGCCTGACATTTAAAAAGGAAAAGAAAAACAGGATCACTGGAGAAGATTATTGAATTACAGTTCATAAAGGCTTAATTAGAGTGTGACAAAAATAGTTAATACTATTTATTGTGCTATTCTTTCATCAGTATAATTGTATCACTTTAAAATCAGAAGAAAGGATACAGTGTGAAAAATAAATAATAAAATAGGAATGGAAGAAAGTTGGTTTGGGAAGAAAATATCCTAAGAGGTGATGGCAAATAGGGCAATTTGGAACTTTTGCACAAAAGTAATGATCATTATAACCTACATGTTGGGAAGCTATTTAAAAGTAGAATGTGCATTTGTGCTAAGCAGATTATATATGTAGACTGCTGTTATATAAACCAGTATAGATAGTTCACACTAACAATTTGGGACCGGCAACTCTGTCTCTAAGTGATGCAATTGCTAAGTGAATATATCACGTGGCTCTACTGGACACCGCAACTCATTAACATCACATGACCTTCCTGTTGACCTTGCTTGTTAGAAGCTGATTGTAAAGATCACAAATGGCGTTCACATGACTACAGGCTGCTGTGGCCATTATAAATGTGTGGCAGTTGCAAAGTGCCCAACTTGCAGTTATGTGATTGTGAGGACACTGCATTGAATGGTCAGTGATTGAGGTAGTAAGTGAGTGAAATAGGCTACATGTGTGTGGGGGAGTCTTCAACTTGCAATTGATCCAAAAATTTTCAAGATAGTTGTTAATTTTACTACCTGTCTTACCACAATTGTTAAGTGAATTACTATAGTTGTTAATGTGACTGTTAAGTGAATCTGGCTTCCCCAATGATCTGGCTTCCCCAATGACTTTGCTTGTCAAAAGGTGATCTCATGACCCAGGACATTGCAACTGTCATAAATACATGCCAGTTGCCAGGCATCCAAACCTTGATCACCATGGGAATTGCTGCAACAGTCATGAAAAACAAATGGTCATAGGTCACTTTTCTCAGTGCTGTTGTAACTTTGAATGGTCACTAAACAAATGGTTATAAGTCAAGGATTACCTGTATACAATTTAACTCTATTTTACCACATTGTAAACCCTACAAACAATTTTTGAATTAATATCTTCAAGCCTCATTAATATATCTGTGAACTGCTAAAATGTATGAATATGGGAATGAGCCACTGTCAACAGAAATATTTTGCATTTTCTTTCAAAGGAGGCGATCACCTTCACCATATTATAGTCGTTACAGATCAAGATCAAGATCTCGTTCCTACAGTCCAAGTAAGCATAACTATATTAATTGTAAAGAGTAAATATGTATAATTTAATATAGTGAGAGATTTTAAGAGTAGCATAGGAAATACTAATAAAATATACTCTCCTTTCAGAAACAACTAAATTAATATAGAAGCTAGTCTGGAAGTATGAATTTATAGTTACAGCATTTTTTTTTTTCTTTCAGGGCGTTATTAAGAAGAGAAGTCAGTTACAGAGCA